GACGCTCTGTGACTCACTTCGTCCTTCACAGGGAGGCACGTAAGCAGACCCAGTTTTCTGTTCCTGGAGCAAGCCTGCAGCATTTGCTCAGCGTCTGCCCCCTTGCACACAGCTCCACACACATCCCAGGGGAAACCCAGGGGAAACCCCCAGAATTGAAGTTGCTAGAACGTCTTCTTACAAAAATTCAACAAATGCTACCAAATTTCCAAGCAATTCTTCACATGAGCCTCAGGTGCTTTCCACACACCCTTGCCTGGGTTCAGAAGGGTGTTTGGAAAACTCTTGAAACTCTGTGGAGAATGTTAAGTATGTGTTCATTTTTCTCAAGGGACCGGTGGCTTCAGTTACATTCTTATGGGGCGGGCACCTCCAGAAGGATAAGAACTACCGAGTCGCCGGGCGGTGGTGGCACACGCCTTTAATCCCAGCACTCGGGAGGCAGAGCCAGGAGGATCTCTGTGAGTTCGAGGCCAGCCTGGGCTACCAAGTGAGTTCCAGGAAAGGCGCAAAGCTACACAGAAGAAACCCTGTCTTGAAAAACCAAAAACCAAAAGCCAAAACCAAACCAAAACAAAACAAAAAACACCGAGTCAAAAGGTCCTCATGAGCATCAGGAAGACGCACCTGCAGACAATGGCACTAAAATGCCAAAAAACAAAAAAAAGTGTTTGTTCCTCTGCTCCCTGAGATGTTGGGCCCAATTCCTGTAAAGGCCCTGCTCCCTTCTCTAGGGGAGAGAGCTCAGGCACAAGAGAATTAGGAGACTGAGAACCCATGTTAGCCTCTGATAGCACATGGTCCTTTGCCAGGGGGAAGGTCCCTCCACACGGAGGATCACATCCGTGTGGGCCAGAAAATGTCTGCTCTCTGGCATCTCATTGTTCAGACTCTGTGTGGCATCCAGGCCAGCGGGTTAGGGGAGGCGGGGGAGGAACCCACGGGATGCCTACATGGTGACCTCCAGTCTGGCCTTTAGTCACCATTTATGTCTGTGCTGATGGCAGAGAGAGCTCAGGAGGTGGTATGACAATTTACTGACCTCAAGCAACGGGAACCTTTAAGTTTAGAAAATGCTCTTCAGAAACGGTGTTTCAGGGTCCCCCAGCAAAATCACAGTTCAATTCAAATACAACCAAGGAACTATACCCCAGATAACCCACAGTAGGCCTCAGAGACCTGTAAGGTTTTGTTTTGTTTGTTTTTTGTTTTTGTTTTTTTCTGTGTAGCTTTGGAGCCTTTCCTGGAACTCACTCTGTAGCCCAGGCTGACCTCGAACTCACAGACATCCACCTGGCTCTGCCTCCCGAGTGCTGGGATTAAAGGCGTGCACCAGCACCGCCCAGCGAGACCCGTGGTTTTTAAGGTGGTGAGTGGAGTGTGTTCATCCATCTCAATTTCAATCAGGCTGAACAACAAGAAGCAGGAAATTGCGGGCTGGAGGTAAGCGGAGAAGCGCTGGGCACTGCAAGACTGTGCTGAGGGACGAGGGTCACCACGCAGTTGGTAAACTGCTGCTGGGTAGGCAGGAGGACAGTTGGACCCCCAGAAACTGTAGTTTTAAACTGTGAGGTGTGGTAGGTTGCTAGGTGTGCTTAGGCTCCCACTGCTGGGGAGGCACAAACAGATCCTTGAAGCTCACTGGCCAGTCAGGCTGGCTGAGGGGGAGAGCTCCAAGACAATGAGAGACACTGTCTCAAAATAAAAGAAGATGAGAAACAACAGCTGAAGTTGTCCCCCGGCTTCCACAAGCACATGTGTTCATGTGTATATTCCCCCGCCCCCAAACACACACATAGAATTGTGTCTGGAGGGAGAAACGTCTCTTGTTAATCAGATCTCTACTGTACTGACTGTTTAGCAGAAGACTGTCCTTCGGAGTGGGGAAGTTTAGAATGTTCCTCCTCACATGGAACATCAGCCTTCACATCACCCAGAGCATGCAGTGTAATGACAGATCAATCCAATGGAAGGTCACACTCTCACACCTCACTCAGCTTAGCAAGCATGCTCATTGGTGAGTCTGTAAGGCCTACTTCTCACAGTGAGCTCCTGGGAACAACTTTAAACATACGGATCCTGGGATCCCAGTTCATCACACTGGATCAGAATCTGGGGCAGTGGCCCGCCAACTGTGATGGTGCACACTTGTGTAAGTAACTCAGAATTCAGCAGGCTGAGACAGAAGGATGCCAAAGTCTAGGTTGGCCTGGGTTACACAGTAAGGACATTTCAAAAAAAAAAAAAATGTCATTAAGGGATGGGACAAGAGCCAGGTGGTGGTGGTAGTGGCGGCGGCGGCGGCGGCAGTGGCGGCGGCGGCGGCGGCACATGCTTTAATCCCAGCGCTTGGGAGGCAGAGGCAGGTGGATCTCTGTTGAGTCCAGCCCAGCCTGGTCTACAGAGTGAGTTCCAGGACAGCCAGGGCTACACAGTGAGACCCTGCCTTGGAAACAAACAAACAAGAATAGTGCAAGAATCTGAATATTGTTAGACTTCCTAGGGGATTCCAATGCACCCTGAAGTTTGGGGAAGTATCAGGACCAGGACTTGAGGCAATGTTTCTTCATCTGTGAAAGCCGGTTAAGAGCCCATCTCAGGCTGAAGAGAATTAAAGAGCGTAGGCTGACCATTACTCAGACACTCCGAGAAGGCCATCGTGGTGCCTGTTAAACTCCCTCCATACTCTAACTGCATGAGAACACCCCCAAGGGCTTGGTTTGGGGAAATTGACACCCCCAAACTCAAGCAGCTCCTCTTTGAAAGCTTCCTGCTTTAGACTTTAAAGGTATATAATTTTGGTGGCTGGAGATGTGGCTCAGTTGGTAGAGTGGTCACCTAGCATGCACAAAGCCCTGGGTTGGACCCCAGCACCAAATAAACTAGGTGTGGTTGTGTACATCTGTAATCCCAGCATTCAGGACTAGAGGCAATAGGATCAGAAGTTTGAAGACATCCTCGGCTACACAGAAAGCTTGAGGCCAGCCTGGGCTACATTAGAGCCTGTCTCAAAATAAAAGATAAATACAGAATATAATATTTGAGGGCTCTCCTCTAAAATTTATTATGACTGTTTAAATATAAAACGTGATTTTAATCAAATAATCGGGTGAAACTGACACTTAAGGAAAAATCTCTGTAATTCACCCTCTAAGTGTCCCTCTTTTCCTGACAAGTAACTCACCATCTCCAATGAAGACCATCACCTTGATCTCCCTCAGTGAGGAGCAGGGTAGCCTACAAGTGGGTAAGCAAGATCAGGAAAAGAAACAAATGGCTGGTCACAAGGCGATGTGCCCTGGGACATGGGGCTGGAAGGCCAAGAGGCTCACCCTGTGGGTACTGATGGCTGGCAGGTGCAGCCTGACCCAGAAGTTCATCTCCAGGCTGCTTTCAGAGAAAGCATCATCACAAGCAAGGACTCTGGCTAGGAGGAAATCATTGCCCTTGGCCTAATAGTTGTGTCTCTACTACCTGTGGGTGAATGTGCACCCTGAAATCAGAAGCCTGTTCTGACTTTGGCAAAATGGCCATCACGGAAGTCTGTGGGCTCTCGGTGTTCGTGGCTGCTGTGATTCGTGGTGGCTGTGGTTACCGCTTCCCAATCCTAATCTAACTCCCCAGTCTAACTCCTGACTTCTCCTGCTTTTTTGCAAAAAAAACTGTGTGTGTGTGTGTGTGTGTGTGTGTGTGTGTGTGTGTGTGTGTGTGTGTGTTCTCCAAGGCCACAAGGTGCCAGATCCCCTGGAGCTGGAGTCGCAGCCCATCTGAAGTGGATGCTGGGAATCCAACTGTCGTCCTCTGGAAGAGCAGCAAGTGCTCCTAACCACTGAGCCATCTCTCTAGCCCCTACCTGCTCTTGTGTTTGTGTTTTGGATTTGGTTTTTTGGATTGTTCTCTCATGCAGTCCAGGTTAGCTTCCATTACCCTGAACTACCGACTGTCCTGAGGCGCTGGGATTTCAGGCAAGAGTACACCTGGCTTGCTCGGAGCCAAGGATGAAACCGAGGGCTTCTGGTACGCTAGGCAGGCACTCTACCAAGTCCTCTTACCCGGTCTACTCTCTGTTCTGTACGGATTCACTGGCATCCATAGAGCTGCTTCCCATCTAAGAAAGCGGGCGTCTGGAAAGCATGGGCAGCGGGACAGATAACTCGCGGGCCATCCCATCCACCCTTTCACCATCAGCTGGAGAGCCAGGAGCCCAGTTTTAATGAAAGACACAGTTGCTCAGCACCCACAGTGCTCCTCCAGTAACCAGAGGCTTTCACACACTTTCATACGTCAAGCAAGCAGAGTATTAAAAGCCGCCATCCTCTTAGACGCCAAAGACCCTGGCTGGTCAAGGCTCTGAGGACGAGTGAGACTAGTGAGATTGTAGCCACAGGCGGACCCCGGGACACGCGGCTCAGAATAAGGTGATTCCTGGGTGCCAGGCACTGCGCAGAGGCCGTTCGGCAAGGGGTGGGGCGGGGCGAGGAGCGCCATAAGAATAAGAGAAAGTAAACTTACCTGTAAAAAAGAAAAGGTAACGCAAGTGGTGCTGGGGTGAGCTTCAACTCAGCAAAGGACTACAGGGGTCTGGGAGTGGTGGGCTGGGCTGGGTACAGCGCCGCCTGCTCCTTTCTACCGCTTCCCAGGTGGCTGCTCCAGCTCGCGACCGCACGCACGCGTCCTGGGCGCGGTGCCAGGTGGCCCAAAGAACCGCGCTTGGTCGCAATACCCCGTCCCTGAGCTAAGGACCCCCAGCCACAGCCTAGGACAGCCGGCTGGAGCTCAAGACTTCCATACCCGAGCCCAAGACCTGCGACCGAGCCCAGGATCCCGGGACTAAGTTCAGGTCTCCAGGCCCCACTCTAGGACCTGCGGCCGAACCCAGAGTCCCCAAACCAAGTCTAGATCTCCAGGTCCGAGCCTAGGACACCGGCCCGAAGTCTAGGACCCACACCCAGAGCCCAGAGCCGGCAGCCGAGGTCTGGACCCCGGCCCAAGCCCCTTACCTCCCGTACGGAGACCGGCTGTGAGTCTACTGCGGCTGCCACACCCTCGTCCCGGCCGACAGGACCCGCCCCGTCTTGGGGTGGAGACTGAGCACGAGTTCCTGGTTGTCCCTTTGCCCACGGGATGAAAAGTCCCTCCCAGGCGGAGCACAGCTAGAGCCGCGCCGCACCCCCGCCCCCTGCACCAGGAGGCGCCCGAGGCTGCTCCCGCCACGGATCCCGCACACGGCTTCCCTACCCCACTCAGGACCCTCACCCAACAAAGGACCCTGAGCCTGCACCGCCAAAACCCACTCGGGATCCCTACCCTGCACAGCCAGACCCCACCCACGTCCTCAATCCCAGGTTCTCAGCCTCGGGTCCTGGAGGGGTCACACACATCACACCTACGCCCAGACCTTTTCCAGTGAGCTGGAAAAGTAGAAAATGACATTCGAGGGCACAATTCGTGCCCTTCTTCCACACTAGAACTTATGTTCCAGAAAAATCCTAGCAGTTTCACACCTCTTTAAGAAGACAATTGCAGGCCGGGTGGTGGTGGTGGCGGCGGCGCGTGCCTTTAATCCCAGCACTTGGGAGGCAGAGCCAGGTGGATCTCTGTGAGTTTGAGGCCAGCCTGGTCTATAGAGTGAGATCCAGGACAGGCTCCAAAACTACACAGAGAGAAACCCTGTCTCGAAAAAACAAAGAAGACAGTTGCAGTCTTTTTTTTTTTTTTTTTTTTTGGTTTTTCGAGACAGGGTTTCTCTCTGTGTAGCTTTGCGCCTTTCCTGGAACTCGCTATGGAGACCAGACTGGCCTCGAACTCACAGAGATCCGCCTGCCTCTGCCTCCCGAGTGCTGGGATTAAAGGCGTGCGCCACCACCGCCCGGCAACAGTTGCAGTCTTAAGAGTCTGGAGAAGGGTGCAGGAAGGTGAGTACAAGGCACCTTTGGGGACTTGAGGTTAGCAGCAGCTCCTGGTTTCCCGCTGAACCCGCCTACTGCCACGTTGCTTGGTTGCTAGTCTGGTTCTTGCTCCTTGCTTGTGTACCCAATCGGGGCACACGCTTGAAGAATCAAGCCTTGTGGCTCTACAGGCAACCTCCAATTTCACTTGAGAAAGAATGGATTGCTTTGGGCAATGTTTGCTATCCAGCCAACCAAAACCCAAGTGGTCATTACATTAAATCACATCAGCAACGTGTGGCTAGAGGAGATGGCTTATTGTGTGGCTAATAGCTGTGGGTTCAGGAGGAGACAACTGATCTAGGCTTGGGCCTGTCCTTTCATGTTTGAAGGTCTAAATGTTTCTAAGCTTCCGCAGGGGGAGGAGACAAAATTAACCAAGGTTATAGGAAGAACCAAATAAAGATACTTCACTTCTGGAAGATTCGAGGCTGTTGCATCCTTTTAAAAATAATTAGGGCCGGGCACTAATTTTTAATTAATCCCTGTACTCGGGAGGCAGAGGCAGGTGGATCTCTGTGAGTTCGAGACCACCCTGGTCTACAGAGAGAGATCCGGGACAGGTACCAAAGCTACACAGAGTAACCTTGTCTCAAAAAAACAAAACAGAACAAAAAACAAAACAAACACAACAACAGCAAAAACAAAACAAAACAAAATTAGGTGCAGGGAAGGGGAAAGGAAACGTTAGAATCTTAGTGCCCAGCAACTGCTGTTAGCATCCAGCTAAGCGGACCTTTTCAGCAAGTGCACCCAGACGTCAGCCCCCTGCTGCACCTTCTCAGAATGAGGGACTGGAGAGATGGCTCAGTGGTTAAGAGCACTGGTTGCTCTTGTACAGGACCTGGGTTCCGTTCCCAGAACCCATATGGTGGTTTACAACCTTCTATAAAATGCCATCTTCTGACCTCCGCAGGCACCAGGCACACAAGATGCCCATATGCCCTTGCAGACAAAACACCCGTTCGCAGAAAGTAACATAGTAAATCTTTTTTTATATAAATATAAAAAGAGGGCTGGAGAGATGGCTCAGAGGTTAAGAGCACCGACTGCTCTTCCAGAGGTCCTGAGTTCAATTCCCAGCACCCACATGGTGGCTCACAACCATCTGTAATGAGATCTGGCACCCTCTTCTATATACATAGTAAATAAAATTTATATATATACATATATATATTATATATACATATATACTTATACACACACACACACACACACACACACACACATATATATATATATATATATAAAACGAGCACTGACTGCTCTTCCAAAGGAGCCCAGGTTCAATTCCCAGCACCCGCTTGGTGGCTCACAACCGTCTGTAGCTCCAGTTCTGCAATCTCCTCTGGCCTCCAAGGGCACCCGGCATGCAAGTGGTGCACAGACATGCATATAGACAAAATACCCACACACTTTTTTTAAAATACCAAAATAGATACATGTGTTTACTTCAGATTTCTTCTGAAGTTGAATGAAAGCAAGAGTGGATTTTTTTTTCATTTTACAACACAACTGGACTTCATGGTACACACCTGTAACCCCAGCACTTGGGAGGTAGAGCAGAAGGATCAGGAGTTCAAGGCCATCCTCAGCTACTTTGCAAAGTCAAGGCTAGCCTGGGATACATGAGCCCCTGTCTCAAAGAAGAAGGAGAAAACAATAGTTTTATGGATGTACCCACTGGTAAAACATACGCTAAGCATGTACAAGGCCCTGGATTCAATCCCCCAGCACTACATAAACATGAACATCTTTCAAGGCCAAGGGAACCAGAGAGGGAAAACAACAACCTGACTCCTCTGGCAACGGAGACGCAGAAAGCCAGGTGACAAATGTGGCCGGCCTGAGAAAGCAGAGCCCAGTGCCAGGAGAAAGCCAAGAAGCAGCGTGAAATGTGATCTCATTTCTTAAGATCTGGAGGGCTCGGCCGTACCAGGTGCCTCTGAAAGCAAATCTTCAGGTAAGACTGAAGTCAGGCGGCTCCTCGGAAATCTTTTCAGGCAGCAGCTGGTGTTCTCTGTCCCCTCTGTCCAGCTGTCCCCTCTCCTCTTTCACCCAGGTAGAAGGCTGGAAGATTGGATGGACCTTCTCCAAAAGGGGTCGAGAAGGGTATTTTGGGGGTAGGGGTGTCTGGTTGTCAAAGGCAGTCTTCTACTTGGTGACTTAAAACAATGGCCACTTTATTTCTGCCTTATTATAATTCATGACTTTGTGGGTCTGAGTTTGGACAGTGCTGGGCTTGGCATGCCCAACACTTTCTATCATTGTGGCATCAATGAGGCTGATTGGTATAGCAGGCTAGCTGGATTCACCAACCTGGAGAGTCAGTCATTCATGTGCTGGGCAATGTGGCACTATGGCAAAGTATGGAAGACTGCCCTCCAGTGACACCGTCCTCCAGAGAACCTGCATATACCATCTCCACTTGAAGTCAGATTTCCTGTGGAAGTTCAGGGTCTCCAGAAAGAACACCGTACGGGATCCAGCAACTCACTGTCTAGGCTTCAAGGAGATCAGACATGCCTGTTGGGCTCCATCCATCTAGAGTCACTAAGGCCCACCTGACTTCAGGGCTCCACTTGAGGCTCTGTTGCTGAGTGTGTGTCTTCCTGGGTGTGAGCGTATGTGAGAGGGATCAGGGTAGGAGATTTACACAAGCCTAGGGCTACTCTATAGACATCGGGTGGTAAATATGGAACTGTTCAGTGCCTAGAACGCTGGTGCGGGGATTATACCCACTGAGTTGGGAAACTGGAGACTCTGGAGTATCTAAGAGCAAAAACACAGAGAGACTGTCATCAGTTGCTCAGAGCAACAGGAAGCAATGCTAAGGTTAATAAAGGCACGCCGTCAAGTCCCACCCACTCACAAGTGCAGGCAGCCTGCCAATCTTGTTTGTGGGATGGCTGGACAAAATTCAGGACCCTTAGTGAAACTGGAATTTCAGCTAGACATGGTGCTACTTGCCAATAATCCCAGCACCTGTGAGGCAGAGGCAGGAGGATCAGAAGTTCAAGGCCAGCCTGGGCTACATAACAAATTCAAGGCTAGCCTGAGCTACATGAAACTTTATTTCAAAAAAGAAAAAAAAAAGAATTTCAGATGAATGACAAACATTTTTTTTACAAAGTATAACAGCTGTATATCATAAAAATGTCTTAAATACTGCACGGGGCAACTTACGCTAAACATTGTTGGCTGTTCTTCAAAAATCCCAACTTAAGTAGGTATCCTGTTTTGTTTTGCTAAATATGGCACCCTTAAGAGCAGATGAAGGCCATCAGAATTTAATGGAAGGGTCTAACATGAAAGAGACAACCCCAAAACATACACACAGGAGAGGAAGGAGCTGGGAAGAAACAGTCTCGGGAGAGAGGAAACTCAGAGGGTCAATTATTAACCACTGGGAAATAAAGTTGAGATAAAAGTAGAATAGACATCCTTTAAGAAGACAGTCAGGGAACTAAGCTAGATCTTTAATATTTTAAAGTCCAAGATCTTTTAAATTAAAAATGTGGAAACAGCAGAAAAAACTGAGGCCAGTGAGGTGACGCAGCTGAAGGAATCTGCCACCAAGCCTGATGACCCGAGTTTGATTCTTGGGACTCAAGATAAAGAGATAAATGACTCCTGGAAGTTGTCCTCTGACCTCCATGTGCATGCATGCCATGGTGTGAACACACACACATAAATAAATGCATAGTTTAAATAAATAAATAATTAAAAATTTAAATGAAAAAACTCAGTAGGAGTGGGAGAAGGGAGAATTAAGAAATAAATGCAGCCATCCCCTAGCGTCCTCAGAGGATCTCCCCCAGAACCTAGGTCAACACTAACATCTCTGGATTTCTCAGTCCCTCGTTTTACTTACTTATTTATTTTTGTGTTTTTGAGACAGGGTTTCACTTAGTAGCTCTGACTGTCCTGGAACTCACTATATAAGCCAAGAAGGCCTTGAACTCACAGAGATCGCCTTGCCTCTGCCCTCCTGAGTGCTGGAACTAAAAACATGTGCCACCACACTCAGCCTCCCTTATTTTTATCACATTCATGAATTTATTTATGTAGCTGTGTGCATGTGTGTGTGTGTTTACATGTGTGCTATGACATACATGTGGAGGTCAGAGGACAATTGCAGGAGTTGGTTTTCTAGCAT